ATCAAAAGTTTCCAATCTTCTATCAATCAAGGTTTAAATTAAATGCAAGAAGACAGTAAACAGTACCCAGACAAACGTGAAATGAAGCCACACAAATCATCGGAAAACCCCAAAATAATTAATTAAAAGTGGTCCATGGAAAAACCAACTCCAGGAAGATCTCAATATAAGGTAAAAGGACCTGTCTTCACAGAAACAGCTAAAGCGCATACCGATGTAGCCTTGTTGCCACAAAATCAAAACAAAGGACAAAGATTCCCAGCTATCCAAAAGCGCAGAGAGCTGAATCCGAATTTCAAATTCCAAAAACTATGAATTATTGTTCTTGAAAAAGGAAACGTACAACCAATTTTAAAGGCAATTATCTAAATAGAGTAAGCACTTTTTTACTTTTTTTTTTCTCTCAACTTTTCCCATTAACCAAACAGCCCCTCAAAATTTTCAAATCAAAACATCTGCCTGTCATAGGAAATCAATAGATTAAAATAAACTTATACCATTTCTTTAACTCAACTCGGAGCTGAGAAAAATCATCTAGTTAGAAATCTGAGTAGCAGATGCAAACTTCAACTAACCAACACACCAACCGAAAAGGAAAATGAATAAACGACCCAAACATTAATTTTCTCAGGGAATAGAAACTAAAAATATACCACGCAGCTCAGCAAATGCATACCCCGGAGATGCACATTAACAGAAACCTGTTCACCTCCGAGGCAAATCAACAGGTGTAAACAGCCAGTTTCCCATTGGTCAACGAGATCAACGGAAGAACGGGAAAACCAACAGAGATCAGAAATAGAGAAACGCTAACAACGAGCCAATGTTTTCCTTTCTCTTGCTTCAGAGTCCGACTCAACGTGCCGTTTAGAAAAGGCAAAGTATGATACCTTGCCCATTATCCGCCATTGGATCTCTAGCCATAGATCTAAAAGGCGAAGAACTGAAGAGAGAATATTAAAGGCCCAAAAAAGACAGTACGGAGAGAGAGAATGGTGAAAAAGCTAGAGAGAGAAAGCTCCTTTTATTTCTAGAGAGAGAGGAGAAAGAGACGGAGAAAGAGAGGGAAAGAGAGCGAGTGTTTTTCTGGTAGCAGTTCAGATTTTGTATTTTTCTGGTTCTCGTGCTTCTCTTTGAGAAGGGAAGGTTAACGGGGAGTCAAAAGATCAGAGAAGGGTTGGTAAATGATTTGAATCGGACGGCTCAAAATGAGAGACGGATGATCAGGTGGTCACATCAGAAAAACGCGGGAGCTGTGCTTCTCGCAATAGTTGACGCCACCCCCACGCCGTAAGAAAGTTAAGAATCTCAATCATGAATCATCAGATCCAAACGTAAAAAAAAAAAAAAAAAAAAAAAAAAAAAGTTCATTAATAAATAAACAGATTATTAATTTGTAAAAACAAATTTAATTATGATATTAGTTGATTTTTTTAAATAAAAAAAATTAACTCTTAAGTAACCCATTAAATAATAAAAATATTCAAATTTTAACTCAGTAAACCACAATTTATTTTGCTCATTAAAAATAAAAATTTTAAATTTAATTTATGATAATTATTTTTTTTTATTATTTATGATCTTAAAATTTTACGACAAACAAAATGAAATAATTATATTATTTTAACGAATTAACATAAATTATACATAATTTTAACATTATTTTCCGTTAAATATTATTATTATTTGAATATAATTTACGAAATTTTAATTTGTTCTTAAGAATGTCTATGCATTTTATGTCATATTAATTTATGTTTTATAATTCAAGAATGATTATGATACAATATACATGTGACGTATTTATAAAGATAAACTATAATAATTATTATAACATATACTTTTAACTAAAATATTTAAAATGTGATAGAAAACTAAAATATTTATAACTAGCTCAAAAATTATAAATTGAAATAAAAGAAAAAAGAAACACTACAATAATTTTTTACACATGATATATATATATATATAAATTTTTCTTTTCGTGAATTTTCTTTTTTCTTTTTTCGTGAGAACAGTTTGTTTAAAACGCTAAAAAAACTTGTTCTCGACCGAAAAAGGCGGACCAGTGGTGGGCCCAAGTAGATTAGATCTTATCTAACTCGTTGTGGGCCCAACAAAGTCAGCTCATTGGACGGCGTGATGAGCAAGACATTTTATAGCTCCTCTGCGGAGATGATTAGGGCCTTCCAACAGCTGATTGTCTCTTTGTTTGTGTAATTGGATTTTTCAATATTATATATATATTCCTCTAGTATTGTTTTTATTACCATCCACATTTTTTTTTTATTATTTCATCTTATTAATTTAATATTTTTATTTTTATATTAAAATAAAAGGTGCTCCCTTTAAAAAAAAAAAGAAAAAAATTATATAATTATTTTTAAAATTTAAAAAATAAAGATGATGTGATTTTCCTGATTTTAAAGGGCTACTTTTATGTAAGTTTAACATTAAAAGAAAAACAAAATAAAAAGAAAAGAAAGAACAGTAAAGAACACGAGTACAAAGTTGAATAAAAAAAAAAAGAAAAGCAAGATTTAATAAGTGACTGAAAGAAATTCTTTTTTCAAAAAGAGATTTTGATCTACATTGATATTACTGTAGTGGGTAATTTCAGGATTATAATTATTACAATATATATATATATATAACACATATATTCACATTCACATTCATGTTATTTAGAAAAAAAAAAAAAAAAAAAAAAAAAACTATGTTAGTACCTATAAATAATAAGGTTTTGATGGTGGTGTATGCATATATATATATATATATATGCAATATTATTCTATTTTTGAACATGATTTGTAGTGGGTTTCATTATATATTGATTTGACACAAATTCAGGATTATAATGATCATGTGTTTTATGTTCATGTGAAATATGATGTTGATTTACTACGTTCAAAACTACAATGATAATATTATAAATATAAAATTTTGAATTCATTGTTTCTAAAAAAAAAAAATATTACTATGTTATTGTTCAAGTACATATATAAAATGATCCAAATAATCGTTATATACTTGTTAGAATAAAATTTAGAAAAAATGTTCAAATAATTCTTCAATATATTTCCAATTATTACTCTTTTTAATTGATATAATAACGTAATAAATTAAATAAAATTTGAAATAATTTAATAATACTATCATACCCCGTATAAATTTTATCTTATATCTCTATAAAGGATAGTAGGTTTGTACGCAAGATATAATAATAATAATAATATTAGCCCCACAATTGAACACGAGGTTAGATGTGAAATTAAACATACATAGATATGTATATATATATATATGTATGCATATGTATATGGTGTGTTAATACTATGCCAATATTTGTAACAAATTAAACTTATGCGTAAAATTCATTTAAAAGGTATTGCTTAATTTTAATTATGAGATTGAAAGATTTTTCTTATAAAATAATTAAATTTGAATTCTAAGTAAAACATCTAATAATTGAATTTTGAAAATATTTAATATTTATCACTGTGAATATTTTATGCATGTATTGATTATGAAGAATG